AAATAAATTAATTAAATAAATAATTTTAAATATTTATATCTATTATTAAATTTAATGTTTTTAAATATATTATTTTTATGCATAATATTTATTAAATTTTTTTATAATTCAGATATAATATTTATTTAAATAAATAAAATACTTATAAATTTATAATGGGTATACTCAGACCCAAGGTAAAGTAAAGAGAATGGGGGGGTTTGAATCGACTTCAAAAGTTCTCGCTTTTGGGAGAGAGTGCCGCGACTCAATCCATCACGTCGTGGAGGATCAGCCTTGGTTATTATTAGTTATACGACTCTAGAAGAAGGCCCATTACCGCTTGTTTAGGTACGGGCCCCTAGTTGCCAGGCCCAAGTCTACCAAACTTTTTTTTTTCGAATTTAATTTGAGTTTTTTTTTTAAATGTAATAAATGTATCTTTTTATAATTAAATTTTTATTGAAAGCATAAATGTTATTTTTTGTTTAATCAATTAACTAATTAAATTTATTCACATGTCAATGATATTAAAATATTTATCACCTTGTGTAATTTTTTATATGAATTAATTATAAAAAGTTACATTTATTCCATGCTTAACTTATACTTTTAAGATGCATATTAGACCAACTTTAATTTTTTTTATCATATTCACATTTTAATTATTTTTTTATTTTAATTTTTGGCATGTAAAATATCCAACCAACAAGAGTTTGGTCAAATTAATATTCACTAATATTAAAACTTAGATTCAAAATTAAATTAAAAAATTCAAACTTATGAAATGTCAAAAGATTAACCCTATAATGTATTTAAAAAAAAAGAAATATAAATACCAATTATAACATAAACCTTAAATTTTTTTCCTCTCTAAAATCTAAACAACCAAGCCCACTTCTTTACCAAACCAAACTATCCTTTGCCTCATTAGAGATTGTATAATCTAGTCTAACTTTTATTCTTTTTCGGTAATCTTACCATTGTAAATTAAGCCTGATATTTATAAGACAATGAAATTAGTTCTCCACAAATATACACTATTATTCAATTAACATACATGAATAATTATCTGTTTTTAAAATAATTTCCTCAAGTAATTGTAATAACCCCCATTTTGGGTATTGATTAGAATATGTAACATTATTTAACAGTAATTGCCTTCCTCTTAAAAATAAGCTCACCAAAGTGCCAAGAACCACACCAGAACAGACTGCGAGGGAGTAGGAAATAGAGGTTGACCTTAGAAGGCCAACCCCGGGCCTAAAAGGGATTATCATTAGTGGGCCTAATTAGGGATGAGAAAAAAAAAACTCTGGGTCCATCATCTTGGTAGGCCTTTCCTACCGCAAGCCTATGTGTATTCGGACTTTGCATCCTCAGTTACTTAAGCCTTAATGTGAAATTGTATTTTTTTAACGTGTCAAGACTCCTCACAAATTTTTTTTTTTTTTTTTGGTAATAACAAATTTAGTATTTGTTTAGGTTAAATGCTAAATTTGGTCCCTCAACTTTAAGAAATGAACATTTTTTATCCCTCAACAATTTTTTACACTTTTTTGATCCCTCAACTACAAAAAATGCACTCTGTTAGTCCTTCTGTTAATTTGAGCCATTAACTTCACTTATGTGGCATTTTTTATATTTTTTTTATGATGTGGAGAGCAAAGTGATGATATGGACAAACATTTTGATATTTCATATTACCGTGTGTCAAATCATATTACCATGTGTCAAATTCATTTAAATGGGTCTCACCTCACTAATAAAAAAAATATCTTTTGATGACATGATAAATTAAGTGATATTTTTTTATATTTTGTTAATAATATAACAAATTAAATTAAATGAATAAAAAATAATATCAAATCAAATTTTATTAATTAATCATCATTAAACTATAATTATTTATATTAATTAAAATTAAAATTCTAAATTAATTTATAATTAAATCACCATTTTCTCATCAAATTTTTTTTCTTTAACGAACATTATAATTTCAAGAACCAATCTCGTCAACCAAACAAATTCAAAGCATTTTCTCAGCATCCAAACACCCAAATTCAAAGCATTTTCTCGGCATCCAAACACCCAAATTCAAAGCATTTTCTCAGCATCCAAACACCCAAATTCAAAGCATTTTCTCGGCATCCAAACACCCAAACTATACCATTTTCCAGCCAAACAAATGAAAACCCACTAAGAATTGCTTCTTTGCCCAACTGCTCCTTTTCTTTCCATTTTCATTTTGAACATATAACAAACATATAATGCCTTGAATAATCTTGCAAACCAACATGTAACAAAAAAGCAAAAAAGCAAAAAAGTGGAGCTGGGTCACGGAACCCAGCCAACTGGGTTCCGGTGAAACCCAGCAGATCTGGGTGCCACCGGAACCCAGCAGACATATAGGAAGAAGAGTAAGAAAAAAGAGGAAGAAAGAAAAAGAAAAAGAAGAAAGGAAGAAGATGATCGAAAGAGGGGAAGATGGATCAAAAAGGGGAGAGAGGTAAATTTGTAATTTTTTATTTTTGTATTAAGGCAAAATTGGTTGATGAGTTGGCAGTGAGTTGGCACTACATTTCATATAGTTAAGGGACCAAAAATGTATAACTTACTAAAGTTGAGGGACCAAATTTAACATTTAACCTTAAAATAACTCCCATTCATCCAACTTTTTGGTTGTATTCTCACATTTGTCCCATATGGGTTAGTGGTACAGCTGAGTCCCTCGAATCGTCCACTGGGGGAGAAAGATAAGAAAGAACTGACAGCTCACGTGGTCTAGCCCGATGAGTTCTTCATGGTGTATAAAAAATAAAAGATTGATTATGACTTAAATGGCCCGAAGACAATTTGAGTTCTACTTTTTAGAAGTATTCAATTAACACTCTTCTTAGTATGATTGTATTTTCATTTTTTAGTTCTGCTATTAAAATTAATGATTTATCTATTTTATATCTTAAAAGAACAAAATAAATAATAATTATTAATTAATAATTTTTATTTTTATTTTAAAAATAATAAAATTGATTTTTATTTAAATTATAAATATTATATGT